TCCTGCGAGTATTACCCAGCAGCCAGTGCAGAGTTCAGATGGAGCAGATGTGGGTGAGGGGCTCGCTCGGCTCTCACTGCCCCACTGTCGGAGCGCCGTCCCTGCTTTGGCAGCTTTGTAATTAACCAACCGGTAATTAACCGGGTTCATTTTTGGGTCACAGTAGGGACAGTAGGTCACACGGGCCTGTAACCAGTAACAGCTATTCACACTAAAACTGGTTAATGCTCAAATTCTTACCTTCACTAAGGGTTAGAAAGGAAATGTCCACAATTTAGTCTTTTAGTTGCTGGAGTTTTTAAAAGTATTTTAAAGAAGAAAAGCAAAAGCAGAATCAAATTATATTCATAATCACATAATAATGATCAAATCACATCAATTATACTTATTTAATTAATCTAAGAATTTATAAAGACAAAAACAATAATCACGAACAGTGACAGAGGTGGCAAACATCATCCTTACATCAGTGAATCACATATGTGTAAAACCCTCATTCAAAAACTACTTCCAAATGATTCATCAGTAGAACACAGAATAGGACATTAACACAGAGAACATATTGTCGCTCTGGGGGTACAGGAGCGCAACATAAGGGATAAAAAAAAGGTGCCCTGGTCCCCAAAGTCAGAAACAGCCACGTCACAGATAAAGGTGAGGTTTGTTGCTACATCAGTCGTACCAAAACTGAAAGCAGAAACTCCAGGGTGAACCAAAATCAGCCAAAGTTACAAAGGAAACGAGCTTTTCCAAAGAAGTGCTACCTGAACTAGACGAGGACAAGCGCTACCCCAAACCACCAAATTTAGTAAACAAGAGGAAACGTACACGAGTAAATGGGCTTCAGTGCTGTTTACACATGGACAAAGCTATTTACAGTACTATACACTATCCTCGCTGTTGTCAGGACACACACAGGGATTAAAGACTATGACTTGGGCAGCTGAGGACAGGTCTGCCGGAGACAGCGGCAGCAGAAAAAGGAGAGACTGCAGAGACTCTTAAAGGCACAGAGCACACATACAAAATGTAGTCCAGACATACCAACACACACTGATTCATGACCAAAATATGGCCATTGTAAATGTTTTAAAGAAAATATTTTCCCATTTTTAATGTGATGACAGCAACACATCCTAAAGTCCAACTTTAGGAACACAATGAAGTGTTTCTTTTTGTGCAGCAGTCTCTAAACTAAACTAGTCTCTAAAACTATCTGTGAATGTAAACATTAGCACTTTGGCATCTACGTTGTAGAAGGACAACAGTCCCTTGTCATAGTCGACATAGATTCCCACCCGGGACGGTCTGATGGGAACCGTCAAGTTGGTCGATGGTTCTGTTCTGAAGGCGAACTCGGAGTGATCCCGAAGGCTGAGAAACCAGTATCCGTGGGCGGGGCTCACGGTGATTTTAACCTTACGGTTGATGGAGCGACTGGCCACGCCGAGGTCCCAATCAGTCTTCCCCCCTACCTCCACCTGTAAGAGTACATTAATGATTAATTTAGACATTGGACACCGAATTTGCCCCATATGTTAAAAAAGAAATAAAAAACACTAATTAATCAGTAATTTAGCAAAAAGAAACATAAAATCTTCTCACTAAACTCAAGATGTCATAAAGCTCCCCTTGCTCATGTCTCCACGTCCCCATCAGATGGACTGCTTTGTTTGTAGAGACTGAGAGTTTAAACTAAAACAGCTTGTTTCCATATTGCTTACCTCCCAGTAATGGCGCCCTGAGTTGAAGCCCTGGTTGGCCAGCACACACACTACCCGGTCAAAGCGTTTCAGGTTGTCTGGTACCACCTGATGGCGATCTCCACAGTAAACCCTTTTCCCATCTGCTGAGACGGTGAGACGTGGGTGGGCTGTGGTGGGATCCAAAGTGATGTC